TGGAGGCGGGGGAGACGATAGCGGGGGTCGGGTGGGGACGAATGGTTGGAGATGATGCTACTGGCTGCGATGGCCAGGATGGGCCCAGAAATACACCGCCCGTTCGAGAAAATTAACATATAGCATAGTCTGCCAAATTCCCAAATATGGTAAACTAGACTTGCCCCAGCACAAAAAGCAAGATGCGGCAATTTTTATCCCGAGCGCACACACTCTGTGTACGAAAATAGAGCCCATACAGTCCTATGTGTTCATTGTTCTAATAGCCTAGATACATCCTTCTTCATGAGAAACCGCAGTGTAAAGATGCAGCCAATGACACGAGTTGAGCAGCGTAAGGTTAAGTAAAAATAAATCAAAGCTTGAGCCCGCATCCTTTTTTTATCTTCATATGAGAGTTATTGCTATAACGGAGCAGCACAGGTATGTATGAACAAACGATTGACTGATGCAGTAAGATGTGCAGGGCAGCAGTTGTACTTTAAGCTTGCCATACAAACATCCAATAGAATGATGAATTAACCAGAGGTGGGCATTCCATGACTGTTTCCGTTAGTATTTCAGGCCGACCCACGTGGGTCCAGTGTGTCCCTTGTCAGGGACAGCCACTCAGCGTCAAGAATGTAATTTCCACGTCAAGCACAAATAAAGAAGAAATAATATATATGCATGTATAGATCAGGGGTCGGGATACTAGGGCTCGCGATCCAGGTGTGGCTCTTTTGATGATTGCATCTGGCTCGCAGATAAAACAAAATATTTTCTTTTGTTTAATCCATCCATCGATTTTTCATTGCTCATGTCCTGTTCAGGGCTGCAGTTGGCTGGAGGAGCAATTATCCATGATTTTAATTGGATGATACTGGCCCACGTTGGCCGGGAAACAGATAAACGCCCCCTTTTGAATCAGCCCGCTCGGTCATTAGCTCAAAGCTAATCCTTCGACGAATAAGATGGTGAAAAGAAAAAAAGATGACGAGTATGCTACACTTGAGGACGAATGGACCAAAGGATTCGCCTTTGTGGAGAGAACAGGTTCTGCGGTGTGTCTAATTTGCAATGACAAAATACCATCGATGAAACGGTCGAATGTAAAGCGGCACTTTGACATGCGCCATGCTACGTTCGCGTTAAAATACGCTGCGGGAGACACCAGAAAGGAAGCGAGAAGGCTACTGAGCAGGGTGCAAGCTCGCCAGCAGCAACTCCACGTATGGACCCGGCTGGATTTTTAGCAATAGTGAGGAACGGAAAACCATTCACATTAATGGTGTGCATGGTAGAGGACCCGAGCTGAATGTCGGACGGACACCACCCGAGGAGTGAGAGGAGGATTTTTTTTTTTTTTTACACACACACACACACACACACACACACACACACACATACACACACACACCCAAGTTAGGTTAGGTTAGTGTATAAATAACAAAATACAGTAAACATGAACATGAAACATACATGTACTGTATTGCTTGCTATATGTTGCTCAATGTGACTCGCTGTTGTTTTGCTGACTTTCGCTGCCTCTCGCGGATCTTTTGCGGCATTTTCGCTTTTTCTGAATGACCTCGCGCCACCTTACCTCTCTGAGCTCATCCGCCCCTACACACCTGCCCGGCGCCTCAGGTCTGCGGACCAGACATTATTAGAAGTACCAAGAACTAAACTGAGGCTCAGAGGGGATCGAGCCTTTTCTGTTGCTGGTCCCTCTCTCAGGAATGACCTCCCACTGATCATTCGACAAGCCTCCTCACTGCCCATCTTCAAAACCCGCCTCAAAACTCACTTGTATTCTTTGGCATTTGACTCAGCATGACTTAGATTTGTTCTTGGTTTTGCTGTTTGGTGCTTTCTACCGTCTTTATTACCGATTTGCTTTGCTGTTTGTTGTATATGTTAAATTTCTCCATGTACAGCACTTTGTATGCAGCGATGGCTGTTTGAAAGTGCTCTGTAAATACAGTTGAGTTGAGTTTTTAATTTTTTTTTTAATTTTATTTTATTTATTTATTTATTTTTTTATGAATGCTTTTGAAAAATCCGCGATGCACTGAAACCGCGAAAAGTGAACCGCGAAGTAGCGAGGGATCACTGTATGTATTTATATATGTATGTATGCTTGTACCATCCATGCAGGTGAGGATCTGGGCGACAATCCTCCTTTCCATGTCTTTGGAGGCTATTTCTCTCTTTGGTGTTATAGCATCTATCTCATCAATAAACAGGATACATGGAGCTGAGCTCTGCAGGAGAAAGGCGCCAAACAGATTAACACAATAACTTAAGACATTTAGTTCAATGTGATTTGTCAAATAAACTTCAAATAAAGCAGCTCAACCACAGCAAGATCAAAGAGCTCCCTGAGCTTCTGTTCAGACTCTCCAGATACTCCAGACACTAATTCTGGAGCAGACACCTTCAGCAAGGGGAGGTCCAGCTCCTGAAATCAACATATACATTGTCATCGGTAATTTTACTCATTTTTATAATTACCGTATTTTTCGCACTATAGGGCACACCAAAAAGTCTTCAGTTTTCTTAAAAGCTCACGGAGCGCCTTAAAATCCAGTGTGTCTTTTGCATGGTCATTATGGTAATACATCGACTCCAAGATGGCTCCTTCCTGGAGACATGCTTCCAACGTTATAACTTGCTGTTGGTTCAGTGAACTGTGTCGCTGCTTTATTCAATAAGTTTTTGTTGCAGCTCCGAAAAAAGGAGAGCTGTGGTGTTCATTTTTTAAAACAGTCTCAACAAATACAGGTACGTCTTTGTCTGTCTCCGTGCCTTCTTCCGTTCGACTCGAGAGGCATTCAAGACCACCTCCGAAAAACGTAAACTAACGATTACTTCAATGAAACTACAAAAATTGAAAATAATACATCAAAACTGAAAAGCAAGCGAGGATATCACAAAATAAATTCTATAGCCACCCCCTACAGAATTTATCTTGTGATTTCATCATTTGTGAATACACAACAAAGGAATAAATAACTACTACTGACATCTGATCGTAGTGGTCGTGGCGCTATGATCAAGGAAATGCCAATGCGTTTTTTGGAGGCGGTCATGAACGCCTCTCGAGTTGAACGGAAGAAGCGTAGCTACATCTAGTGGATGCATTAGGCGTTCATGACCGCCTCCGAAAAACGTAAATCAATCATTACTTCAATGAAACCACGAAGAAAATCAAGCGAGGAAATCCCAAAATAAATTCTGTAGGGGGGATATAGAATTTATTTTATGATTTCCTCGCTTGATTTTCAGTTTTGATGCATTATTTTCAATTTTCGTAGTTTCATTTAAGTACAGTAATAGTTAATTTACATTTTTCAGAGGTGGTCAAGAACGCCTCTCAAGTTGAATGAAGGAGCGTGGCACCATCTAGTGGAGGCATTGTAGATTGCGCCTTATAATGCGAGGCATCCAATGTATGAAAAACATTTACAAAATAGCCATTCATTGAAGGTGCGCCTCGTGATCCAGTGCGTCTTTTAGTGCGGAAAATACGGTATTTATAATTTATAATTATTTTAATCAAGTGCAGAACAATTTCTCTTTCGAGGTTGAACTGATGTAACCCTAATGTTTGGAATAAATGGGTCATATTTTCTCATCCCGACTGTTGCTGACTATTTTTTGTTTGAATAGTATCACTTGATGAAGTCTCTTCAAAGATTTTACAGTAAAAAAATAAGTGCATGTATCATTCCTGTTGATATCATATTGGATAAATACCGGTAATCGGACAGTACTCCAGGCTGCAATGTCGGTATCGTATTCAAAGTGAAAAAGTTGTATCGAGACACCCCAAGCAACACCGCCGGAAAGGTGGCCCACTCTAGGTTTGCGAGGGTGATGTGGAGCCGGGTCCAGCTGTCTTTGGAACGAGAGGTGGGGAACCGCTGAACTGAATGCCATCCAATCGCAGGGAACAAATAGACAGCCATTCACACTCACACCAATGAACAGTTTAGCGTGTTCAATGCATGTTTTTTGGAATGTGGGAGGTAATCAGAGTACCCAGAGAAAACCTCGGCAGGCACAAGGAGAAGATGCAAAGCCTACACTGGAAGCTCGGAGCCCAGGTCTGAACCCATATGCTCTGCACAGTGAGGCGGATGTGATAACCAGTCTGTTCCACCGAAATTAAAATCAACCAATGAAAATTTGAGATTTTGAATTCTTATTCAACAATTACTTTGATAAACTCATGAAACAAGCCTGTACATAAAAGATGGTACCCAAAGAAAAGTTATTAAATTGTTTGAACAAAGGGACATGACTAACTCAGGAATGTCCTCTAATAAGCATCACAGGTGTCAAGCATATTAATTGTAAAGGCTATAATACAATCTCCAGGCAGTTTGATGTTCCTGTGACTGCAGTTGCACACATTATTCAAAAATTTAAGATGCGGTTGCTACCTGATAAAAATTTATGACATATAGCACCTCAATGAAAAAGCACTGTCTGATTTGCATTGATTAATTTTCATTATTTTTCATTTATTATTGCTTTTGTCAGTCAGGTGCTCGACTGGTTAGTGCGTCGGCCTCACAGTGCAGAGGTGCAGGGTTTGATTCCGGCTCCGGCTCTTCTGTGTGGAGTTTTCATGTTCTCCCCGTGACTGTGTGGGTTTTCTCCGGGTACTCCGGTCTCCTCCCACGTTCCCAAAACATACATGGTTGATGCAACAACCTAAATCAGGGGTCAGGAATCTTTTTGACGAAGAGAGCCATGAAAGCAAAATATTTGGAAATGTATTTCAGTGATATATATAT